TCGTATTCTTCCGAACCGATTAAAGCTGCAACCAGAGCCATCCGATCATCGAAAGAAAGACTAAGAGACTCTGCTAGACTCGTATTGACAGGAATATTTTTAAGCCGTGAGATAGTTTTCTTCTACTTTGAAGTCTGCCTTGATACGTTATTCATTTCATTTTTCTCCTTTACATTGATTACATTGGAGGTGAGACATTCTGTATCAAAGAAACCCTTGGGAAAATAATCACCCAGGGTTGGTAGTCTAGGAAGAACGCGTGAAGCAGCTTCTACCCCTATCAATTTAGTGAATCCTCTTTATTTGGCTTTAGACCTTCTTCGGTTGTTCCTTGAACTTGATTTTTTATCATAAATATTAGAACTTGGGAGTTGTGGAGCCTTTCGATGACGTCTTTTCACAAGGTTCCATGCCCCCCTGATCTTCTTCTAGTATTTTTTCTTTATTGGGTTGAATTTTCGTACACAATTCCTCCAACTCTTTTCCTATGAGAGGCGTAAAAGGTAACATTTTACCTGTTTTGTTTAGCATTCGGTATTTCTCTTTCTTCTTTATGAAGGTGGACCAGCCATCATCAATTTCGTCTTCAGATTTTAAGTCAGAATCCTAGACATCCAAGTCACCTGTCATTATTTCATAAAAGGTTGGATGATTGGGTGCATTTGGCCTAACCATCCCCGGATAGACGTAACTCATAGTGATTTCTCTGTCTAACTCAAACTTAACTGGGATGGCTCCTTTCGGAAGTTGAGGTCCAAACTCCTTAACTGAGGATTTACAGGCATCGCGTATACCAAAAAATATTTGTTTCTTCTCTGCAATGGGAATTGGATCAAATGATCCAAACGAAACCATCGAGCAGATGGCTGTTGGATTCTCTCTGGTTTCAAGTTTGATCATATTTTCTTTGTCCAGACGAACAATAAGATTTTTCAAAACAAAGCATTTTTCCGCTGGGTGGCTAATGATTCTGTAAATTTACAGTATTTAGGATGATTGATCCTAACAGCATCCTCAGGTCTTTTTGGTACTGGAAGTTCGATTATTTTTTGTTCAAGGAGCTGATCCGGAATTCCAGAAAATTCTAAATCTGAGAATTGGCACTCTTTTTCTTCAAGTTCCTTTAGAGTCACATGACCTCTGCTTTGGACTTGTCCTCTGTTAGGTTTGAATTCTAGCTTCGGTTTTGGGTTCGAGCTTGACCCCTGGAAGGCTATCTTTGCAGGAACAGTAGAAATCGCCATACCTCTTTGGATTTACTTGTCTTGACGTCCTTCATTATTTCTTTCTTAGGATCTTTCTTGTCATATAGATCACTTGGTAAGTAACTCCCATGCCTTGCAATTTGGAGCTCCAGGTCATGAGCACGTGTTATATCTTCGAATGAGTGAGGCGTATTTGCTTGGAGATTATAAAGTAATCCCCAATGCATGTCTTATACACACGTGTCGATGGAAGATGCTTTGCTTATTCGTTCTTTGCAATTAAACAGGAGGTTCCTCCAGCTTTTAATATACTCCACAACATGCTCTTCCTCACTCTGTTTTGTTCGAGCTAGTTTTGGAATGCTGACAGTTCGTCGAGTGCTATAGAAGCGTGTTAGGAACTCTCGCTCGAGTTGATCCCAACTATCAATTGACCATGTCGGTAAGTCTGTGTACCATTCAAATGCAAAATGTTTGAGAGAGCGTACGAACTGCTTCACTATAGTATTATTGTAAATACATACATTGTTACACGTCTCAATAAAATGAGCAACAGGTTGCTTTGGATTGCCCTTTCCATCAAAACACTAAAATTTCGGAGGTTGGCAGCCGAGTGGCATCTTTATTTCATCAATTTGACAACTATAGGGCTTGGAATACACCAGTGAAGATTGCAATGAACCACCATACTGTGCATGAATGGTGTCGTCCGATCGTGCATATCTTACTTTTGTTGACGCTCTTGAACTTCTAACTCTTTGGCCTTGGAAGATCCTGAATTTTCTTGATCTTCTTTAGTCTGTGAATTTTGTGACTCTAGCCTGTGTATGAGTGCAGTAATTTGTGCATCTTTGTCTTCCAACGACTTTTGTTAATTTTTCAATGGCTAAAGCCATTTGTTGAATTTGGTCATCTGAACCCGATGCCGCTTCTGTGAACATCGCTGGCTCAAGTGATTCTTCAGATGAGGCATCGTCTTCCCACTTTTGCTGAGAAGTGGCATGAGGGGATACAGACAAGGATCTACCACTAAAGATGGAGTTCGAACGAGAACTTTTCACTGAACCGAGGGTCTTTTTTGTCGAATGAGAGCTTTGCTTCTTGAATGCAATCTTCATTTTGCTTTTGTTGGAGAACTTTTTCAGTGGTATGACCAATTGAATTTTCCCAATTTTTGTTTGGGCCCTAGTAGTGTAGAAGAGTTCGGTAAGTGTTTCTTCAAGATGGGTCATAGTTTGTTTAGCTTTTTCGCCTGTCATTGCTAATGTAGTAGTTGAAATTTGAAGATTTTGAGATCGAAAAATGAGACGACAAGAAGGTCCCACTGGGTGTGCCAAGAAATTTGTACGACAAAATCTCGTGTATTAAAATACAGAAATCGTTACAAATTATATTTTGAGAAATACAAGTGATGTTGACCTTTTTGTAATTGCAAAATTGCAAAATCCTCCGATTAATGATCTAAATATTTGAAGACGAGGGGCCACGTGGCTTGAATCCTGGTCTTCAAGAATTTGTTGAAAATTTGATTTATCGAGACTTGACTTGTTTAGAACTTGAACTTCAGGGCTTAGACTTGGACTTGAATTTGATTTGATTTGAAGAAGACTTTGATCTCCTTGGACTTAGCGTGAACCTATTTGATTCAAAGAAGATTGTAATTTTCTTGGGGTTCACCGGATTTGGATTTGAGAGGAATTCTTCCCTTCTTCTGGTCTTGGAATTTCTTCAGCACTTCGTGGCGTTCTCTGCTTTTTTTCTTGCTTGTTTTTTGTGTCCCGTCTTATGGACCATTGGTCTTATTTATAGAGGAGGATTCAGGCTAATTTTGATAATTACTCAATTATATTTAATTAAAAGAGATAATTGAGTGATTATAATTTTATTTATTTGTTTGTTTATTTATTTAAAATGTGGTATGGGCTTTTGGATTTTTATGAATTTTAGTAGACTTAATATTTAATTGGGCTAATCATTTAAATCGACCCAATTCATTTTATTTTATTTACTTATTATTATTTTTTTATGTTTACAAATGCCTCTCAAGATTTATTTATTTATTATGAAATAAGTAAATTAATAAATCTTGATTTTCAATTTTTTTTTGATTTATTCGATTTTGACTTTTTTTTTAATCTCAATTATCTCACTAGTAAATAAATACAGATGAAAATTTTGAGAATAAAACGTGAATTTGATAATAAATTTATCCTTTAAATCTGAGAATAATTTTTTTTCCATTGAATCTGATTATTTATTTATTTTATAAACCCATAACAAATTTGATTTGAATAGGCTTTTTATATTTTGTGGTAAGTTGAGTTTGAATGAAGTTCGACACACCACCAGACAGTGGATTTTTAGACATGTCGCCTAGGACACAAAATGCAGGCTTGTGCCCTGTTGTTGTTTGCTGCACTTTTCCCCTTTTTTTTTTTGAAATCATGCTCCATTTTTTGTAGGTTTTCTGAGCATCCCTGAAAAACTAAATTTCTTCATGAATCCAAACTTTTTGCAAGATCAGACTAGCGAGAATGATGGGCGAATCGATGCACTTCAAGGAATAGATGGTATTCATGATTCTCATAACCCTGCTTGCAAATATCCGGGCACCATCAATGGAGGTACTTTAGTGCATATCATGGACAATTTTAATGCTGAAGATGAAGTAAATTTTAGGACTGTGAAAGCTAACATTTCAGAGATCAATCAAGGAGTTCTTGTTCCATCTTCATTGGCTTTAGCCAGTATCCGCCTTTACAAACAAATAATCATCAAGCTGCACCAATCTGTTCTTTCATGTCTGGTCCTCCACTTGGAATTACCCAAGAGTCTCTTTATCTGAAGGCTGCTCTGGAAGAAGCCATGACTAATTACCTTCAAAAGTGTTTTAAGGATGTCTTGAAGCATGGATTCTCTAATATTCAATCTTGGTGGCATGAAAATAACTTAATTCTTCAAAACTTGATTACCAACTCATTCCATATAGACCCAACACCTTTGATGAAGTGCATGGATATGTTTCTAAAAAAAGTTAGCTCTTACTTATCTGAAAGAAAGCAACACTTGGATTGTCCAACTATTGAAGAAAAGGCTGAGGAGCTGAAACTTTTGAACATTCAGTTGGAAGTAAAGGATTCCATGTGTTCTTCGTTGAGAGGCAAAATTAGTGAGCTAACCTTTAAGCTAGATGAACTTCGTGATGAACATCAAGCCCAAGAGGAAGAGAAAAGTATGATTGGAAACAAAAAGGCAGCATTGGAAGAAACACAGACAAGAGATGTCGCTAGCGTAGCATCCATTGACCAGAAAAGGAAGACCCTTGAAAATAGTTTCCTGCGAGTGATCAATGGCGAGTGATCCTGATGAAGTCATGAATTTCTAATCCTTTTTTAGACCATATTGTATGAATTTTGACTTGTTATTTTTTTATTTGGATGAACTTTTCTTATTCATGTTTCTTGTGTTTTTTTTACTACAGCAATTGGTAAACAAATTGAATAAATTTATTAGTTGTGACTGAACTTGAATTTATAATTTATTCAAGCTATATACATACCCAAATAGGATCAAGTCAAATGTAGTTCATTACAAGAACACAATTTTTTTTGTACAATGAAAAATTTAAAAATAAAGAACTTTAGGTGTAAAAACGCTTTAAAAATTTTCCATTGATAGGTTCGATTTGCAATCCATCTTTGTCGACGATCTTGTACGCTCCATTAGTGAATGCATGAGTAACAAGAAATGGACCGTCCCATTTAGGTTGGAACTTGTCCCCTGTTTTTCTTGTGATTATGATTGGCCTGCGCACGAAAGTACCAGATCTCCAACTTGAAATGATCTTGGTTGCACCTTTTTGTTGAAAGACTTGGCCATTCGAGCTTGATAGCACTCTAGATGCATTTTTTCTTCTAACCTCTTCTCATCCAAAGCTTCTAGCTCTTCCAATCGAAGGTGGGCATTTTCTTCAGTTGTCAAACCTTCTTGGATAGCAATTCGAAGTGATGGGATTTGATACCCCAGAGGAAGTATAGATTCTACTCCATATACTAGGGCATAAGGAGTGGTTTGTGTTGGAGTCCGATAAGTAGTTCGATAAGCCCATAAGACTTCACCGATTTTCTCATGCCAATCTCTTTTTGATTTGGAGACAACCTTTTTTAGTAGACTGCATAGTGTTTTGTTGAACGCCTCTGCTAATCCGTTAGCTGCCGTATTGTACATGGACGAGTTATACTGTTTGAACCCAAACTTAGCACATAAATTGTTTACGTGGCTATTGCAGAATGTTTTTCCATTATCAGTTATGATATGCCGGGGAACACCATATCGATAAATGATTTGGATATGAATGAAATCTGCAACATTTTTTTCTTTACTTTCTTCAATGGTACGGCTTCGGCCCACTCGGAGAAATAGTCAGTCCTGACGAGGATGTATACGTACCCTACTGAAGACTTGGGAGTTATAGGTCCAATTACATCAAGACCACATGCATCAAACGGTAATGAAGCTACTGTCGGATGTAATGGTTCCAGAGGTTGATAGATGAAATTAGCATGGACTTGGCAAGCTTCACATTTTCTTTCATAGTCCATGGAGTTTTGTACCATATTTGGCTAGTAATATCCCATCCTCTTTATTCGAAAATGGAGTTTAGGTCCAGATTGATGGGCACCATAAATTCCAGAGTGGGCTTCTTCCACGACCTGTGTTGCTTCATCATTACTTAGGAATCGAAGAAAAACTCTATCAAATGATCGTTAGTATTCCCTTATAAAAGATAAAGCGAGAGGCGCGCCTTTTGATTTCAGTTTTTCATCGTGGATTATCTGGTAGCTTTTGATATTGAAGGAAATCAATTATTGGCTATCTCCAATCTTCTCTTTCTTCATCTTCAATTACTTCAAAACTATTATTTTCTTCCAAATTACTGGGTAGCAATAACGGAAGTACCCATCTTTGAGCAATTGATATGGAGTGAGAGAAATGTTCATCTGACCTAGCTAAAATAGCGGCCAAATTAGCTAAGGCATCAGCTTTCCTGTTTTCACTTCTTGGGACGAATTTAATTTTTATTGAATCAAATCGTCTCATAAGCATTGATTAGGTCTGAATTACGGACTTCATACTCAACTAAAAGTTGGTTGATTATCAATTTAGAATATCCAAAGACTTCCAACTGGTGGATATCCATATCTAATGCTGCTTCTAAGCCAAGGATAGGGGCTTGATATTCTGCCACATTGTTTGACCATTTCTCTGTTAAGACAAAAGAGTAGGGCTTGATTAGATCATGTGGAGTGACAAAGACTACTCCTGCTTCGGCACCATAGCTTAGGGCTACCGTGATGTTATGACTTCGGTAAATAGAACTTCTTCATCAGGAAGATCTTCTTGAAGTTCCCATTCCTCTGGAATTGGGTGGTCAGCTAGGAAATCTACCAATGCTTGTCCTTTAATGGCCTTTTTGTGGAATGAATTTGATATCGAACTTAGACAATAGTAGTGCCCATTTTCCAATCCTGCCAGAGAGAATTGGCCTAGACATTATGTACTTCAATGGATCAATCTTTGAAACAAGATTGATCGTGTGTGATAGCATATAATGTCTCAACTTTTTAGCTGCAAAGATTAATGCAAGGCACATTTTTTCAATAGGTGAATACTTCATTTTAGCGCCTACCAGTGTTCGGCTTAAGTAATAGAGTGCATTCTCTTTTCCTTCATCGTTGACTTGGACAAGAAGTGTTCCTAGAGAATATTCTTGTGCTGCAACATAAAGAGTCAGTGGCTTTTCTGGGACTAGAGTTGTGAGTACCGGTGGACATGACAAATATTGCTTAATGCCTTGGAAAGCATTTTGACAAGCGTCGTCCCACTCAAATGGTACATCTTTTTTCACCAATTTGTTAAATGATCGTCCAGCCAGGTTAGAGATAAATCTTTGAATGTATGCAAGTTTTCCTTGAAGACTTTTCAACTTACGTACATTTCTTGGCTCTGGCATGTTGATTATGGCATCAATTTTTCATTGATCTATTTCAATGCCCCGGTGTCGAACGACGAAGCAGAGAAATTTTCCAGAGGTGACACCAAATGTACATTTCAACGGATTCATCTTCAGTTGATGTCTTCGAAGTCTTTTGAAAACGTCCCGTAAATCTTGTAAATGATCGTCATGTCTTTTGGTTTTGACAACAAGATCATCCACATAACATTCCACATTCTTATGTAATATGTCATCGAAAATCTTCTGCATTGTCCTCTGATAGGTTGTCCCCACATTTTTCAATCCAAAAGGTTGTTTGATGTTGAAGGAAATCGATTATCCGTTGTCTCCAATCCTCTCTTTCCTCATTTTCCAGTACTTCGACACTATTGTTTTCTTCCAAATTATTGGGTAGCAATGACGAAAGCACCCATCTTTGAGCAATTGATATGGAATGCAAGAAATCTTCATTTGACCTAGCTAAACAGCAGCTAAATTAGCTAAGGCATCAGCTTCCCTGTTTTCACTTCTCAGGACGAATTTAATTTTTACTAAATCAAATCATCTCATAAGTATTGATGCATATTCATAATACGGTTTCAGGTCTGAATCTCAGACTTTATACTCAGCTAAAAGTTGGTTGATTATCAATTTAGAATCTCCAAAGACTTCCAGCTGGTGGATATCCATATCTAACGCTGCTTCTAAACCAAGGATAAGGGGCTTGATATTCCGCCACATTTGTTTGAACATTTCTCTGGTAAGGAAAAAGAGTTGGGCATGACAAGATCATGGGGAGTGACTAGGACTACTCCTACTCAGTCCTGGAGATCGAGCATCACAAGCACCAAGAAAGACTTTGACTCCAGAAGATGAAAGTTCTAGAGATCAGGTATAGTTCTCCCCTTTTTATGTACTGTTTGTATCTGATTTTCTATCACAATCTTCAATTTTAGGCTCCTCTTTCTCGAATATACCTCTTTCATTTCGCTAGTTTTGATCCCTCTTTCCAGAAGCCTCTTCAGGAGCAGCATTTGGAGGGTTTAACCCTCTAGCTAAAACCCTGTTCGGAGTCGAGCCAAGAACAAAGTCACAGCTCTCACTAGAAAATAAGACTTGCACATGGACCTTGGTCAAGAGTGGTAACACTTTGCTATTCCACAAAACCTGGTATTCAACATCAATGTTTTGATGTATCTGCCTCACATACTCTGGAATATGAAATACAAACCCACTTTTTGTCTGAGTTGAGGACAACCAAACCCGATACATGTCGCCTACACTGGGGGCAATATTCAACTTTCTTGGTGAACCAGGAATTTTCTGTCTAAAGCCAAACTGTCTCACAAACCTATGAGGATTATATGCCTCAAGAATGAAAGGTGAATTTCCTTGACGATAAGAAACAAATACAGATCGAATACTCATCATGAATTCTGAAGTATCTGCAGACCTCGATTGGTCATCCACACGTACATCAGTATAAGACGATGAGGGTAATGGATTCCAGCAAAAGTTATCTGTGTTCATCACTCCATGGATAAATTCTCGACAATCAACAACATTTTTCTCCCAAGATTGAAAAGCATTCAGAGTTCCGGCATAACTTCGAATTATAGGGCAAGAATAACTCTTGTCTACATGAGCATAAACACCTCGGACAAAATAAGTTGCTGCCCAAGCATAAAGAAAATGTCTAGGAAATGAATGTGAAATGTCAATCTTTTTTTGATTTGGAGACAACCTTTTTAGCTGACTGCATAGTGTTTTGTTGAACGCCTCTGCTAATCCGTTAGCTGCCACATTGTACATGGACGAGTTATACTGTTTGAACCCAAACTTAGTACATAAATTGTTTATGGGCGTGCCAAGAAATTTGAGCGATGAAATTTTGTGTATTAAAATACAGAAATCAATACAAATTGTATTTTGATAAATATAAGTGATGTTGACCTTCTTGTAATTGTAAAATTACAAAATCCTCCGATTAATGATCTAACTATTTGAAGACGAGGGGCCACGTGGCTTGAATCCTGGTCTTCAAGAATTTGTTGAAAATTTGATTTATCAAGACTTGACTTGTTCGGAACTTGAACTTCGGGGCTTAGACTTGGACTTGAATTTGATTTGATTTGAAGAAGAGTTTGATCTCCTTGGACTTGGCGTGAACCTGTTTGATTCGAAGAAGATTGTAATCTTCTTGGGGTTCATCGGATTTGGATTTGAGAGGAATTCCTCCCTTCTTCTGGTGAATTTCTTCAGCACTTCGTGGCGTTCTCTGCTTTTTCTCTTGTTTGCTTTCTGTGTCCCGTCTTATGAACCATTGTTCTTATTTATAGGAGAGGATTCGGGCTAATTTTGGTAATTACTGAATTATATTTAATTAAAAGAGACAATTGAGTAATTATAATTTTATTTATTTGTTTGTTTTTTTTTTGTTTGTTTATTTATTTAAAATGTGGCATGGACTTTTGAGTTTTTATTCAACGGTTTGACAATCCAAGTGTTGCTTTCTTTCAAATAAGTAAGAGTCAACATTTTTCAGAAACACATCCATGCACTTCATCAAAGGCGCTGGGTCTGTATGGAATGAGTTGGTAACCACATTTTGAAGAATTAAGTTATTTTCATCCCACCAAGATTGTATATTTTGGAGAATCCATGCTTCAAGACATCTTTAAAACACTTTTGAAGGTAATTAGTCATGGCTTCTTCCAGAGCAGCCTTAGATAAGGAGACTCTTGGGTAATTCCAGGCGAAGGACCAGAGCAGCCTTCAGATAAGGAGACTCTTGGGTAATATTTCGGGGATCAATCAAGGAGTTCTTGTCGTTCCATCTTCGTTGGCTTTAGCCAGTATTCCGCCTTCACAAACAAATAATCATCGGGCTGCACCAATCTGTTCTTTAATATCTGGTCCTCCGCCTAGAATTACCCAAGAGTCTCCTTATCTGAAGGCTGCTCTGGAAAAAGCCATGACTAATTACCTTCAAAAGTGTTTTAAAGATGTCTAGAAGCATGGATTCTCCAATTTACAATCTTGGTGGCATGAAAATAACTTAATTCTCCAAAACGTGATTACCAACTCATTCCATACAGACCCAGGGCCTTTCATGAAGTGCATGGATGTGTTTCTGAAAAAAGTTTACTCTTACTTATCTGAAAGAAAGCAACACTTGGATTGTCCAACCGTTGAACAAAAACCCATACCACATTTTAAATAAATAAACAAACAAATAAATAAAATTATAATTACTCAATTATCTCTTTTAATTAAATATAATTGAGCAATTATCAAAATTAGCCCGAATCCTCCCCTATTAATAAGACCAATGGTCCATAAAATGGGACACAGAAAGCAAGCAAGAAAAAAAGCAGAGAACGTCACGAAGTGCTGAAGAAATTCCAAGACTAGAAGAAGGGAAGAATTCCTCTCAAATCCAAACCCGGTGAACTTCAAGAAGTTTAAAATCTTCTTCGAATCAAACAGGTTCACGCCAAGTCCAAAGAAATCAAAGTCTTCTTCAAATCAAATCAAATTCAAGTCCAAGTCTAAGCCCCGAAGTTCAAGTTCCGAACAAGTCACATCTCGATAAATCAAATTTTCAACAAATTCTTGAAGACCAAGATTCAAGCCACGTGGCCCCTCGCAAATATTTAGATCATTAATCAGAGAATTTTGCAATTACAAGAAGGTCAACACACTTGTATTAATCAAAATACAATTTGTAACGATTTCTGTATTTTAATACACGAGATTTCGTCGTACAAACTTCTTGGCACGCCCGGTGGGGCCTTCTTGTCCTCTCATCTTTTGATCTCAAAATCTTCAAATTTCAACTACTACTCAGCAATGGTAGGCAAAAAGATGAAACAAACTATGACTCATCTTGAAGAGACACTTGTTGAACTCTTCCATGTGACCAGGGCCCAAACAAAAACTGGGAAAACTCAATTGGTCACACCACTGAAGAAGTTCTCCAACAACGGCAAAGTGAAAATTGCCTTAAAAAAGCCAAACTCTCTCATTCAATAGAAAAAACCATGAGTTCAGTGAAAAGTTCTTGTTCGGACTCCATTTCCAGTGGTAGATCCTTGTTTGGATCCTCTCA